AAGACATGCAAAATTAGGAACACTTTTTAGCATTGTTCAATGTTGGTTGCAAATGTTTTGTCCAATACTATATATATATATATATATATATATATATATATATATATATATATATATATATATATATATATATATATATATATATATATATATATATATATATATATATATATATATATATATATATATATATATATATATATATATATATATATATATATACATATATATATATATATATATATATATATATATGTATATATAATATATATATATATATATATATATGTATATATATATATATATGTATATATATATATATATATATATATATATATATATATATATATATATATACATATATATATATATATATATATATATATATATATATATATACATATATATACAGTATATATATATATATATATATATATATATATATATATATATATATATATATATATATATATATATATATACAGTATTAATATGTCTAGGTGACAAGAGTAATGTGTAAAGTTATAGACCTATCTCCGCCCTCTTGCTTTTAAAAATTACTATATAAATTAAAAAACCAACTGAAATTTAAAATTGAAGTTTTACCCAATAAAGTATTTGAGAATTTTCCGTTTGGTTATGAAGGTTATTACCAGTTATTTTTATGTTTATTAGGTTATGAAAGTTATTACCAGTAATTTTAATGTTTAACAGGTTTTAAAGATTATTACCAGTTATTTTTATGTTTAGTACAAAATAAAATACATTTTTTAAAAGTTTTTTAGAAAATCCATTCTGCTTATACTTGAGAGTTTTAAAAGAAAATCGCAACCTGTCTGAATCGTCATAAAACGTTGTAAAGGAAATAAAACTTTAAACAAAATACTGTAAAGTGGTGGAAAATCAACATCCATCGGCAAAACAAGACTAAACCAATAATTAAACTATATCATAAAAATTCAACTCTGTTAAAATTCAAGCTTTAGGCTACAAAGTAGTTTAAATGCAATAGATCTTATGTTCAAAGAGTACGAAAAAAGCAAAATTGGAACGTAGGAAAAAAGGTTATATAGAATTCCTATAAACTTTTGAAACATATAGCTTATAGAATCTCTAAAGAATTTTTATAATCCTAATGAGTAAAAAATTTATAGAAACTTTAAGGAACTTTTTTTCCTGTGAAAGAATATTGAAAAGATCATTTTTTTAATCAAAAAAATACCTAGCTACTACTGCTGTTGTATCTTTTTCTCCAGCAATTCCCAACCATTTTTGTTCTTTTTTTGTGATTCAAATTGCCGTAATTTTTGGATGGACAATTGTTACTGCTATTAAATTTTACATTTATGAAACATTAATTTAACTGCTCTCTCTGGCAGCATCCATGCTTACCATTTTTATGTTGCAGCACTGAATTGAATTGTTGTGAAGAAGGAATTGCATTTTTTCTTTTAAAATTATTGTAGTTTGCAACAGTTGGTAGGTTACAAATTCAATGTTATTCGTAACGTATTTTTTATTTTGTATTGTATTTGTAACTTATTTATTATTTAACAGCTCTTTTTTAGTTTTTCATTCCAATAATCCAGTATAAATGTTCGGCAAAGTTTTTTCATTAAATTTATTTTTTCATGGAAAACTTTATTTTAAATTTTATATTTGATCTCACTCATCTCACATAAAATATTTCACTCGTCTCAAATAATAGGCCGGGTAAATTAATAAAAGCAATTACTGACAAGCAATTGCTTTATATATATATATATATATATATATATATATATATATATATATATATATATATATATATATATATATATATATATATATATATATATATATATATATATATATATATATATATATATATATATATATATACATATATATATATATATATATATATATATATATATATATATATATATATATATATATATATATATATATATGTATATATATATATATATATATATATATTTCACTATATATATATATGTATATATATATATATATATATATATATATATATATATATATATATATATTTCACTCGTCTCAAATAATAGGCCGGGTAAATTAATAAAAGCAATTACTGACAAGCAATTGCTTTATATATATATATATATATATATATATATATATATATATATATATATATATATATATATATATATATATATATATATATATATATATATAGTCAAAAAAGAGTACAATGAAGTAGTAAAATCATAAAATTAATGTCCAATTATCAAAAAATAAAACAAAAAGCAACTGAGCAATTGCTCAGAGTAAAAAAAAGCCATTGCTCAAAATTTTTATTCACGTAGTTTGAGCTTTTTACTCGAGTAAAAGCAATTGCTTTTACTCGAGTAAAAGCAATTGGTCATTTTATTGACGCAGCTTAAGATTACACATTCTCACATAATGTTTTTATAAAAAATATGAAATGTTTAACAAAGAAACCTTTTTTATTTTCAAAAAATTCTATTTTATTATCATTCCAATTTAAAAATATTGTTCGAAACAATGAACACTAATCTGAAAATTTTAACCAATGCATTTATTAAAATTAAAATTTTTAAAAATTTTAAAATTTAAAGATTTTAAAAAAAGTTAAAATTAAACCATTGCAAACGTTTAAAGCAAATAAATTCATAAAATTGTGAAAAAACAAACTTTTCTCTCTTTCATAAAATGAAACAATCAAATAAAAAAGTCTCGTTAAAGTTACAAAAACTGTTAATTAATGAAAAAGAAATAAAGCGAGAAAAACGTGCAAAGTTTAGGAGTTTTATTTGATGAGTTTTTAGGAGTTTCATTTAATGAGAAACTATCATGGAAAAACCCAGTGCAAGATCAAGGGGGGGGCAAGGGGCTATAGCCCCAGGCCCCGCAAATTTAGGGGTTCCCAAAAATTTTAATGGACCTTTATTTTTTTTTTAGTCATTTTTAGGCTCTGGCTTATAAAAAGGCCTCCATTAACAAAAATAACCTCTAATAAATATGAATGTAAAGACCTTTAATATTATTGTTCCTATTACTTTTTTTTATTACTTGTATTAATGTAGTTTACTTTTTTTATAATTTCCTTGTTTTAATATTTTTTTATTTTGTTTGTTTATTTTATTAAGATTTCACATTTCATTGACTAGTTTTTAACAATATGAGTGACACCGAACCTAACTCTGTAAATTATAATTAAATTTGTAATTTTTGATTTTATGATTTAAAAAATGGACAAAAAAAAAAAAGTATGAACAAAGATTTTAAAAGATTAAATCTGATGTCTAATATCCAGGCTCAAACAGTGGAACTTAGTTGATGATAGCGTACAAGTCACAAATTAGAGATTCTCCAACTTCATCAGTCAATACGTATCAAGTATTCTCCAACTTCTTCAGTCAGTATGATGGGCTATGTCTCTGTAACGATGTTGTTGGTCTATTCCAGGATATAGACATTGCATGTAGTCCTATTAAATGGCGCCTATTCAATGAAAGTTCATCACGGAGCCTCAAAGTCGTGTTGCTTCACAATGAAAACAATTACCTGTCTCTCCCAATGGCCCGCTCTGTGTATTTCAAAGAGGACTACACCAGTGTCAAAATGTTGCTGAGTGCATTAAAGTACGATGACTACGGATGGGACGTCAAAGTTGGTGACTTCAAAATTGTTTAAATACATTCCTCATGGGTCTTCAAGGAGGTTTCACGAAATTTCCTTGTTTCCTCTGTTGAGCTGTTTAACAGGACGGAAAGAGTGGCTTGGAGCAGTTTTGTTTAGGGGCTTCAACAAAGCTAAAAACTATGTAGAGTTGGTACAGACTCTCATAAAGAATTACGCCAAAATGGAATGCAGAATGTCTCTGAATGTCCACATCCTTGCTTTGTATCTCGCCAAATTTATAGAGAACATGGGCGCTTACTCCGAGGAGCAAGACGAGCGCTTTCATCAAGATATATTGGACTTTAAACGTCGTTACCAAGGACAGTGTAACTAAAATATGATAGAGGACACATTTGGGGGCTACTTTGAGAAAGCGATTTACAGTACAATCATAAATCTAGAAAATCTAAACATTTTTGAACTTTGTTGAGTAGTTTCCGACTGTGTTTGTTTATTCCTTGAGCAATTTTTGTTTTTTATATGATCATAATGACGAAAAGGTAAAAAGATTGTTCTATTTTTACAAAAATAAAGAGTTTTTCTTGTGCTGTTTTCGTGTAAGCAAAGTTAGTGCTTAATGAAGTCATTTTTTCGCATACTTTAGACATAATTGAAGTATAATACTTAAAAGCAAGGAACAAAAATTATGTTACATAGTGTAAATAAATAGCCTAGCTTCGGTGTTATTGAATCGATTGAGAAATAACAATATAAAAGATTTGAAAAGCATTTATATTTTTTTTAATTATAACACATTATAACTGATACATTTACGATATAATACAATATAACTGCTATGTTTATAAAGTCCTACATCCTATATATATAATTTTTTTTGTAACTATATTTGAAAATATGTTTGATTAAAAAATTTAACGTTTATATTGTTACGGTGTTTTTAGTTTTTATTTTGTACGTAATATTTTTCGCAAAGTATGTATTTTATTTTCATCTTGTTAAAGTCATGTGGGCTTTAATGTTATTGTTAAAGAAACTGAAATAATTGTGGTTCAGTCAACCGTATCTTATTTGAATCCCTATCTTTACATTACATAAAGAGAGTATTCTCTCTTTATGTAATGTAAAGGTTTCCTTATAATTTATTTTATTTTTTGTTATATGAAGAACGAAATATATATTCAAAAAAAAAAAAAAAAAAAAAATTAAATTAAAATTTTTTTAATTTCAATTACTAATAATTTCTTTGAATTTTCAATTCTATGAATTTTATGATTTGATCTCACTTATCTCACATTCTTTACAAAAATATGTGAAAAATTTAATAAAGCTACTTTTATAAAATTTCATTAAAAATTAACTTTACTTACATAGAAGTTACGAATAGTTTCTTTAATTTTCAGAATTTTTAAACCACACTTATAGGTTGTTAAAAATCATTTTTGAAAACTTATATTTGACACGACTTGTTTAACAAAATTATAATGATAAAAACAGTTTTAAAAATCCAGCGACCAAAAATTTCAGAAACTAAAAAAAAAATTCAAAACAACAAAATCTATGCAAAAGTAATAATAACAAATTGTAAAAATAACTATTTGTTTTATATTACTATTTGTTAATAAAGTTTTTTAATTTCTTAAATTCTTTTGTTGCTATGTACAAAGTACTATTAAAATTAAACGACTTTGTTGCTATGCACAAATTTTCGTGGTAATTTATTTAGAAAATATATATTAGGGGTGGGAGTTTTTTACATTTTTTTTTCTTAAAATCAATTTGCCTTATTACTACCGGTGGAAAAATATTATAAAAATAACTTTAACCGTAGCAGATTCTAAAACCCTCTGCGCAAACTCTTTTTTTTGAAATGATAAAATTTTTAAAAAATCAATTAATGCGACAGATTAAAGTGTTGTTTTTAAAACAAATGATTTTTATAAACTAAAATATTAGTTGAAAAAACAAAGTAACAAACTTACATAGGGCTTGAAGGTCATAGACCCCATCTTAACCTGTCAATAGGGCTTAAAATCTTAGAAACCTTCCATTACTAGTTGAATGACTAAAAAAAAATCCTTATATTTGGGAAAGGACCCCTAAATTTATAATAGGGCCCCTAATTTGCAGGCCCAGCAAATTGTTTAGCTTTGCTAGCCTCAAAGCTTACAAACTACGCATAAAAATCTGTGTAACCGGGGGTAATGTTGAGTTCTAAATTTTTAGTCATAAAACTTTGAAAACTGCGTCATAGAAGTAAATATAGTTCAAACACTAAATTATTTTATTACAATTACTCACATAGGCAGATCACAATGTCCAGTCAAAATGACCTGTTTGAAATTTAATGCCATCGCACGAAAAAGCGCTGGCAGGATGTCATTTTTTAGTTAGCCGGTGCGATTTGATAAATTTTTTTTCCTGATATATAAATTAAAATAAAAACAGCAAAAGAATGCTTTGATTAAATACTAGATAAAATATTAAAACAAAACTTGGTAAAACAGCCATTTTTCATAAAAGTTGAAGAAATAAACAAAAAAGTTTAGTTGCAATTTAAAACAAAATGCTTTTATTTTTTTGGCAAGCGCTTTTTTATGCGCTTGCCAAAAAAATAAAAGCATTTTGACTGAGTGTCTCTGAAATTTGGCTTTTAAGTTAATGACGTTTCTTTGAAGAAATAGTTTAACTTTTGTAAAGCGAACTTTCGTACACTTCATTTTTGTAATCAATGTCTAATGGACAATCAATCCAAATATCAATGTCTTTTTAAACACTCTAGACATTTGCTAGTTAATGTTAATTTTAACTATGTTGTATCGTTCAAAAGTTCTTCTGCAAGAGAATCATGGTTTGGTCCAGTGATCTACAATAAAGTTGCCAGTCTCTACTATTGAGTCAAAATCATATATTTCAAGCTATATAGCTCTAGAGTTCTATCGTGCATTTGAAATCGGTCCTGGTTTAGAAAAATAAATTCATTAAACTCATTGAGTCTCAATAAGATTATAATTTACATAACAAATCCAGCTTCATATAATCTTTCCTGCCATATTTTTTACTTTTAATGCATGGCTCGTTAGGTTTGTACTTTCCAATTAAATTAAGGTAGCTGCAAATCAACTAGTTAATGAACCAGTAATTAATATTAGGCGATGTTGATAAGAAATCAACCTTTGAGTCTATAAAGTGCTCAAGAATTAGGTCGAGAACATAAAGTCGACGAAGATGATAATATTGTGTAACGTTATAAATAGAAACAGAGTTGCCTCTAATTTTTTCAAAGATATAACGAAAGATTTAGACTTGCTCAAAATGCAAGTGCTATAATAATATTATTTGTCTATGCTTTTACCACCAAAATGTAAGAACCGCATTTCTTCAGAAGAGTCGATATAAGACCGAATCGAGCTTAATTCATGTACGAGTGTTGTAGATACTATTTGGACTGCAGATCTGCAAACGATGCCTCACCAACTGCATTAAATATAGCTTTTGCAATCTTTGCCGTACAGCTTATTGGATATCCTTCATTTTCAGATATTTTAGCATTTTATTGTTGATCTTTTCACGTTTTAATCCGATTGTGTAATCATCACTTGTACTTCTTACCAGTAGCACAACAGCTGCGTCATTTCTTTCTTCCAATGGTTCACATTATTAGAAAAACATGTCCGCAAATCTGTCAGGGCATGAGAAAAGCAGTGAACATCTAGCAAATTTTCAGTCTTGGAAATGAGCTGCGACTGCGAAACAATAAAACATTTGATGCCGAACGTTTGTGTCTTGTTAAAAAAGCACAGTGTTGGCAGCAAATCTTGAAACGGCTAATAACTTTTGTTAGAGTTCTTGATATGCAAAATCTTGCCTTTTGTGGAACACATGAGAAACTAAACACTGCTGATGGCGAAAACTTTTTGAAATTTGCGGAATTTTTAGCTTTGTTTGACCCACTTAAGGATGAGCATCTTTAAAAGATTAAACACGTGTATATTACCTAAGAAAAGATTAAATACGTGTATATTACCTAGGAAAAAAAATACAAAACATAGAAAAAGAACCAACTCATCTTTTATCCAATGCAATCAAACAAAAAATTCTAATATCTGCTCATGATGCGAAGTACTTTTCAATAATTATTGATTGCACACCTAATGCTGTTCATATTGAACAAACGACTATGATCATTTGCTTTGTGGATGTGATTTAAAATCCAGAAAATGGAATTGAAAAACAGCAACAGCATCTGTAAAAAAAGAGAAAGCCAAATTGATGCTCTAAAACCTCTCCGTTTTCAATTTGGTGATATCTACGGTTCTCTGGCAGAGATTGCGGACGACACAAATTTAATAGAGGCATTTAGTAATTTAACACAGTATTTGTAGATGCACTATTTCTAGTTTTAAGTTTGTCGTTTCTCTGGTTGTGTGGTACGACGTACGACGGTACGTACGACAGTACGACGTGTTGCTTGAGATCAATATGACTAGTAAGCAACTTCAGGCAAAAAATTAGATATGCATGGCGCCATCTTGAAAAGATGCATATCTAATTCTTTATTTTTATTTCTTTATTTTTATTTATATTTATTTTGATTCTTTTTTATTGGCGCCATAAACTACTTTGAAAAAACAAAGAAGTTTATTGTAAATCGCAGAAATGAAATGGATTTTAAGAGCATACTAGTAGATGCAGTTGATATTGCAGTCAGTTTAGAGATACCTGCACTTCTTTAACTCGAATCAACCCATATCAGAAGAAAGAATAAACACTTGATGTATGAAGGAGATGACGAACCTATTCAAGATCCAAAAGAAAAATTAAAAACAAACTTTTACTTTGCTATTTTTAACACAGCAATACAAATTGTTGAAGAAGTTTTACTCTTATGCAAACAACAAGTTCGTTGTTTGGTTTTCTTCATGATGTTCACAGTTTACAGAGTGTAACTAGCAAAAAAGTTATGGAATTTTTCTTGAGTCTTGAGGATGCTTTGAAACATGAAGCTTCCAAAGAAATCCATGCAGTTGATCTATGCAGTTAACTGTAATAAATTTCGAGACAAGTTGCAAGGTGCTCAATGGCACTATAATTATTAAGTTTTATATTAAAAAAATAATGTTATAGATTATGTCCCCATCATTGTTAAAGCTTTATAAATACTCTTGACACTTCAAGTTTCCGTTGCTAGCAGTGAGCAAAGCTTCTCAAAACTAAAACCGATAAAAAAAGTTTTGAGAACATCTATGACTTGCTGTCATAGACGTTCTCAAAAAAGAAAGACTTGCTGGATTAGCTACTCTGTCAAGTGAACAAGATATTGCTAGAGACATTGAACTGACGGAACTCGTTTCTACATTTGCAAAAGTTTGAAATTGTTTATTAATATATTATAAAGTTACACGAGCATAAGCTTATTTATGATTATGCATTGATTATTCTTCTAAATGCAAATACAAATTGTAATAACATAACTTAAGCATTCCTTTGTGAAAGTAAGTTGAGGAGGGTGGGGTGGGGGCGCAGTGTGTCTGATTCACCTAGGGTGCCAAACATTCTGGCACCGGCCCTAAATAAGTCAAATAATTTATCCCAGCTATTTGTAATACTTGTCTTCTTATTTGTACTTTGTGTTGATTTAATAACAAATTTATAGGTTTAAATGGCAGACAATTTATCTTTGCACAGATTTCTCCGTAAAACATGGTATTGTCATTTTATTCCATAATTGACAAACTTCAATTGTGATTAATTTAATAACATCACTTAATTACTTATATATATAAGAAATTAAAAAAGAAAATTAAAATAAAAATAAAAAACACTAAAAAGAAATAATTATAAAATCTTGAAAAAACATATTTTTTTCTTCACAGGTTTTCAGTTGAAACTATTTTACTCCAGATTTTTTTCACCCTTTCTTGTAGGTTGACATAAAACCAATCTTTCTTGTAGGTTGACATAAAACCAATCTTTCTAGTAGGTTGACATAAAACCAATCTTTCTTGTAGGTTGACATAAAACCAATTTTTCTAGTAGGTTGACATAAAACCAATCTTTCTAGTAGGTTGACATAAAACCAATCTTTCTTGTAGGTTTACATAAAACCCATCTTTCTAGTAGGTTGACATAAAACCAATCTTTCTTGTAGGTTGACATCTTTCACTCTTTCCAGTAGGTTGACATCTTTCACTCTTTTTAGTAGGTTGACATCTTTTACTCTTTCTAGTAGGTTTACATAAAATAGAAGTTACAAATCTTGCAAAAAAAAACACTTTTGAAAATCGTTGCAAAAAATAATAATAATAAAAACAAAACAAAAAAACGTGTACTTTTGAACACTTAAAGAAAGCTTTGATAAAATTTGAAATCTTTTTATGGTTTTATTATC